CAAATAAAAAAGTAAAACTACTCTTTTCCTGAATTCTGTTTCCTAGTGTTAACTACTGTTAACATTTTAGGTTTATCCTACCAGCTTTTCTTCCAGGCTAGACAAATGTTTGTGTCCTGAATGAAAAGGGATGATAACCTCACATCTGCAACTAGTTTATTTGCATAAATCATATGTTGTGGATATCTTGCCATCCATGCAATGAGTAGATTGTACATAGAGCAATGGCTGCACATCATTTCACATTGCAAATATACCAGAGTTTATTTCATACTTTCCCTGTTAGAAATGTTATGTTGCATTATAATTTGCTTGCATAAATTTCTGCTCTTATAGTTTTGCCACTTGGATGGGTGAAAAGTTTCGTTTTTCATTTGCTTGTCTTCTAGTAATGTTGCACAGCTTTTGACCCTTTGGATTTCCACTTAAGTGAGTTATTTATTCGTATCCTTTCCTCACTATTTTATTGAGTCCGTTTCTTTTTCTTATTAATTTGTGGGAGCGCTTTTACATTAAGAATAGTAATCTGGGCTGGCCGGTTAGCTCAGTTGGTTAGAGTGTGGCCTTGTAACATCAACATCAAGGGTTTGGATCCCCTTACCAGCTGCCACCAAAAAAACCCCAAAAAGATTAGTAACATTTTACGTGTGTTACAAATATTTTTTCAGTCTATCATTTTACTTTTTTTCTCATATTTTATATTTTATTTGTTTTTTAAAAAAATGTTCATTATGACTCAGAATTGATTACGACTCACTCATGGTTTACACACATAGTGTGAAAAACACCGATACAGAGACATTTTGCACCCTCTGCTTGTTGGTGGCTTGAATGTGTCTGCCTGCTGATGAAAGAAATTAGCTAGAATGTTGGCTTGTACACTAACTTCTTGAAGTGGTAGGTAGGAACATATCTTGGATTTCATTCCTGATACTTTTTGATGGGAGGGGTTTTTAATAGTGCCAGTTATAGTCTGATCTTGTGAGGACCCAATGAGGTTTTCCATGGGTAAGTCAACTATCAGATTGGAGTTGATGATATATTTTTATGGAAGTTTCTTGGAAAGCATCCTTGACCCAGGAATGTCTCACTTTAGCTAGCTCCGATCCACTCCCAATCAGAGTCTGCCTTCCTTCCTTCTCACCTCGAGCCTAGCCTCCACGACCCAGCCAGGCCTAGTGTTACAAGCATCATATCTCACCTTTGGGGTGGCAATTCAGCTCACCCCCCCCACCCCCTCATTGTCTTAGAAACAGCACTTACAGCTTAACCTCAGAAACCCCACATCCTGCCGGAAGTCTATCATTTGACTTTTGACTTTATTTATGGCAATATTCCTTCTATATTCTTTCAAAATACACGTATCAAGAAACACTGAATCATAATACATTTTGCATTATGATTCAGTACACAAACACATTTGCAAAAGAGTTACATGGTAATACTTATCTCTACCATTCCTTATTTTAAAACAAACACTTGTCATAAAACACTAAATTGGCATTGGGACTCATGGATTGTGATCAGCAATTTGAAAAGCACTATATTATCATATCTTTTGCCTTTAAAATTGTTGGGCTGGCCAGTGGCTCACTTGGGAGAGTGTGGTGCTGATAACACCAAGGCCACGGGTTTGGATCCCATATAGGGATGGCCGGTTTGCTCATTGGCTGAGCGCGGTGCAGACAACACCAAGTCAAGGGTTAAGATCCCCTTACTGATCATCTTTTTTAAAAAAAAATTGTTGATTTTTGTATGTAGTTGAAGAAGCGTACACCTCTAAATGTTCTTCTTCTTACATCTTTTGTGTGTGTGTGATGTAAATTTTATATGCAATTCACATTTTGGTGTCCATAAATAGTCTTATTGGAACAGTACCACTCCCATTAGTTTGCATATTATCTGTGGCTGCTTCCTGTATACAACAGGAATGGTTGTGACAGATTATGTGGACTACCACGAAGCCTAAAATATTTACTAACTGGCCCTTTACAGAAAGTTTGTTGAACCCTGGCATAAACACTATATTTTGGTAACATGATTATCTGTTTAATCTTAAATATCTTTTCATGTTAAGAATACCTTTGCCAAATAATTTAATTTTTAAATTTCTGTCTCTTGGAGATCTTTCTCCAAAGTAATTTTAGTCTTTCATTAAAAAATAGTATGTCTATTTTGTCCAGAATTCTTACATCTTTTTAACATTTAAACTATTAATCTGTTAATTTTGTTGCATAGTGTAAGATTGGGGGTCAATCTTTCCACTTGTGTCATTATTAAAATTTTTACTTTCTCCACTGCTTACAAGTGCCAATTATTCAATATTCTTGGCTTTAGTCTGTTAATTTATGTATCTGCCCAGTGTGTGCAAAAGTATTATTGCTTTTTAATATGAAGGATATTTTTATAGTAATGTCTTTTTCTAAGAAATGTGGCCATTATTTCATATTTATTTTTTTTAAAGTTTGTTAACATTACTGAAATGTACAGAAAAATTGTACATGACAATTGTATATCTCGATGAATTTTGACAAACCTGGGTAACCTGTACCCTGATCAAGAAAAGACATACATATTATTTTTATTAGTAGGATTTTTAAATGCTTAATTATACAATTGGGCAATGCTCATGTATTTTATATTTTGAATGTAACTATTGCTCTTCTGAACTCTGTTTTATTTTTTTACTCAATATTCCTGGTTTTTCTATGAAGCCAATTATATTATCTTTCTTTTAAAGTTATATTATCTTTACTCAAAGAGAAATCTCCTAACTTTCAATATTTATGTATTTCTCTCTCTCTCTCTCTCTTTTTGTTTTGTTTTGTTTTTTGTTTTTATTTTTTAGTGGCTGGCTGGTATGGGGATCCGAACCCTTGATCTTGGTGTTAAAACACCAAGCTCTAACTAATTGAGCCAAGCGGCCAGCTCACTTCTCTCTTCTTCAGACATTGACTAGAACCTCCAGGGCCATGTTAAATATCAGAGGTATCAAGGTTCTTCTTTATTTATTAAGTTAAAAAATAAAAATTGTGTACACTTATGTACAACATGATGTTTTGGAATATGCATATAGCTTGGAGTGGGAATTATTCTGTTATTTGCTCCTGATGTACTTATGTCAATGGAAACCTATTGTGTCAATTCCTGTGGTATAATGTTATGTGAGGTGTTTCGAGTTTTTAAAAAATAAGAATTAGAGCGGGGGATAGGAAGTGACTGCTTAGTGGGTACAGGGCTTCTCTTTGGGGTGATGAAACTGTCCTGGAATAGATAATGGTGATGGTTGTACAACATTGTGAATATACTGAAAATCACTGAATTGTACACTTTTAAATGATAAAATGATGAATTTCATGTTATGTGAATTTTATCTCAACAAATAATATAGGGATTATATCCCTTTTCAGTCACTAGAATGGCAAAAGTGAAAAATTAGAAAATACAAATTGTTAATAAGAATGTAAAACAATTGGAACTCTCGTAATTAACTGGTGGGAGTATATATTGATAACAACTTCAGAAAACTCTTTAGCTTAGGGCCGGCCCAGTGGCGCACTGGAGAGTGCTCCGCTTGGGAGTGCGGTGGTGCTCCCACCGAGGGTTCGGATCCCGTGTGGAGACCGGTTCCCGCTCACTGGCTGAGCGCGGTGCGGGCGCAACACCGAGGGTTGCAATCCCGTTGCCGGTCAGTAAAAAAGACAAAAAGGAAAAAAAAAAAAAAGAAAACTCTTTAGCTTATCTACAAAAGTTGAAAATACCCAACATACAAACTCTATGATCCAGCATTTTCTCTTCGCCCACCGTGTATGTATGTTCACCTAAAGAAAAAAAAAAATAGCCCCAAACTAAAAATAACCTAAATGTCAATCTCCAGTAGAAGATGAATACATTGTTGTATATCCAATCAATGAATTACTATACAACAATGAGAGTCAGTGGATGGACTACAGGTATTTTTCTTTTGGCAACTGGCCAGTACTGAGATTTGAACCTGTGACCTTGGGGTTATAAACCTGTGCTCTAACCAACGGAGCTAATGAGCTAACCTACAGGTATATTTACTAGGATGGATATATTTCACACTGTGTAATTTATTTATTTAGGGTTTTTTTTACTGGTAGCTGGCTGGCACAGAAATTGAATCCTAGACCTTGGTGTTAACAGCACCATGATCTAACCAACTGAGATAACTGGCCAGCCCTCACAAGTGTAATTTCGAGTGAAAGGAAATCAGTTATGTGGGGTTTGAAAATAAGCAAAAGATATCTATGAGGTTAGATGTTAAGACAATGGTCACCTTTTACGGGCTCAGTGATGACTGGACAAGAAGCGTTTTCTGCTTGGGATCTGGGTACATAGGTGTTCATTTGTGAACATTTAACGAACTATATACATACGATTTATACACTTTTTTGTGCATTTCTACTTCATTCAATACAGTTTGCATTAAAATGAAAGATATCATCCATTGAATGGTAATGTAAAAATATTTTAAAAATTAATTTGTAGAGCCGGCCCGGTGGCGCACTGCTACAGTGCACCGCTTGGGAGCGTGGAGGCACTCCCGCCGAGGGTTCGGATCCCACATACAGACCAGCCGCTCACTGGCTGAGCGAGGTGTGGGCGCAACACCGAGGGTTGCGATCCCGTGGCCGGTCCCAGTCCGGTATGGGCGCGACACTGAGGGTTGCGATCCGTTGCCGGTCACGAAAAAAAAAGACAAAAAGGAAAAAAAAAATTAATTTGTAAAAACAAATGAATATACTAAAATTTTAACAGGAATGGGATCATAATAGTTCTCTTTTTTTCTTTATCCTTATACTGCCCTTTTTGGTATTTTATGACTTCTCTGAACATGGAAAAAGAAAATACAATATTACTTTAGGTTGTGTCCACAGGGTTTTCACATTTATTTGCTAGTAAATCATAAAGTTCGTATGGCTCTTATTTGGAAATTTAATTACGTGATATGAGTAATTTTCATGTTTATGTTACAGGCAGATTTTGACAACAAACCAGTAAATGGCCCCAAGTCAGAATCCATGGAATATAGTAGATGTGGTCATGGGGAAGAACAAAGATTGGAATTGAACCCACATCCCCTTGAAAATGTAACTAAAAATGAAGAAAGCATGACAGGAATTGAGGCAGAGAAGTGGACGCAAAATAAGAAATCACATTTAACTGATCATGTCAAAGGCGATTTCAGTGCAAGTGTGGCAGAAGCTGAAAAATCGAAAAACTCTGAAATTGACAAGAAACAAATCAAACCTCCAAAATTGTTTGCACAAACTATCAGAAATGGCATTAAAAATGTACACTATTTCCCAACAGAAGCAAATGTATCATTTAAAAAAATCCATATTGAAGAATTTGGCAAGGCATTTGAAAACAACTCCTATAAATTCCTGAAAGACACTATAAACCATAACAATGCCATGAGCTCCATTGCTACTAGTGCAAGTTGTGATCATCTCAAGGGGAGAAGTAATGTCTTAGTCTTCCAGAAGCCTGGCTTTAACTGCAAATCTAAACCAGATTCTGCAAACTGCAGCGTAAATAGTCATACTAACATACACAATGAACGTGATCAACCAAAAACTCCTGAGAATATACCAACTAAAGAACCAAAAGATGGATCTCCAGTTCAACCAAGTCTTTTATCCCTAATGAAAGATAGGAGATTAACACTGGAGCAAGTGGTAGCCATTGAGGCCCTGACGCAACTCTCAGAAGCCCCATCAGAGAATTCCTCACCATCAAAGTCAGAGAAAGATGAGGAAACACATCAGAGAACAGCTAGTTTACTTAACAGTTGTAAAGCTATCCTCTACTCTGTAAGAAAAGACCTCCAAGACCCAAACTTACAAGGGGAGGCACAAAGCCTTCGTCACTGTCCATCTTTGGAAAAGCAAAACTCATGCAACATGGTAGTGTTCAATGGCCAAAATGCCCTTTCCAAGTCACATATCTGCTCAGTTACTAACAAAGAATCCACAAAGTCAAACGAATATTCAGAAGCCACAAATTCAGTATCTCCTGTTATACCCAAATCAAATTCATCTAACATTGACACCAATACAAAAGTTGCTCAAGGTAGAACTATTCTGGACAGTTGTTCAAACAATTTCCATCAGCTGCCACCAAAAAGTACAAAATTGGAGTATTGTAACCAGTTACTGGACAGCAGTAAAAGGTTGGACTCAAACAATCCACCATGTCAGGACGTAGCACATACTCAAATTGAGGAGGATGTTGCAACACAATTAACACAACTTGCATCAATAATTAAATTAAATTACATAAAACCAGAAGACAAAAAAATTGAAAGTACACCAACAAGCCTTGCTGCACATAATGTACAGCAAAACCATAGTCAAGAGAAGGATGTAATACAACAGAAACCACCATCAAGTGTGCAAAGTAACCATGACCCATCACTAACAAAGCAAAAGAATACAACCCAGAAAAAGACGAAATCCACTCCATCAAGAGATCGGCGGAAAAAGAAGCCCACGGTTGTAAGTTCTCCAGAAAATGATCAGAAGAAGCAGGAAGAGTTGTCATATGAGTACAGTAAGTTCCATGACATTTGGATAGCATCCAAATTTCAAAGATTTGGTCAATTTGTTCCACATGATTTTCCTATTCTATTGGGAAAAATTCCACCCCTGACCAAATGGAAAGCATTGGTTCCAACAACTTCAACATTAAAACACAAAAAATTATTTCCCCCACTTACTCAGATAAAATTTGAGAGATATCCTGAATTAGCACAGGAAAAAAAGGTAAAGGCTGAACCATTGGATTCTCTCCCTTTATCTCACTTTAAAACAGAATCCAACGGGCAGGTGTTTACAGATAAAGCTTATAATTCTCAGGTACAGTCAACAGTGAATGTCAATCAGAAAGCTCATCCCTTGCCCCAGCCCTCTTCTCCACCTAACCAGTGTGCTAACGTGATGGCTGCCAATGACCAAAAACAGTTTCAGCAGGATGTTAAAAAAGAGCAACCTGTGCATCAGCACCTGCCAACATTGCCTGGTATCTCTCACGAGACACCATTACCGGACCCAGCACAAATTCTCAGGAATGTAAATGTAGTATGTTCAGGTGGAATTACAGTGGTTTCTACCAAAAGTGAAGAGGAAGTCTGTTCATCTAGTGTTGGAGCATCAGAATTTTCCTCAGGAGACAGTGCACAGAAAAGTTTTAATGATTATGCCATGAACTTCTTCACCAACCCTACGAAAAACCTGGTGTCTGTAACGAAGGAATCTGATCTGCCAAACTGCGACTGCTTTGGTAAGTCCTTGTGTGGATGTGTTCTTCTTTCCCCTGCATGAATTACCTCAAGTCATGACAGAATCAAGTTCTGGTTCATCTTTTTGTGTGGGATTTTTGCCCAATTCTTATGGTAACTTAGATGGACTAAGTACTTTTGTACTCATTTTTCTGTGAGGCCTTTATTGATTCTGCTCAGAAAAATGGAAAATTCATCTCATAGTTTGGAAAACTTTCTCAAGTGGAAATTGAGTTGATTTCTCTCAAGGCAAAATGTCTCTCAAGTTGTTTATTTTGCATAGCATAAGAATGAATACCCTTCCTATTTTATTGCAGTTCATTTATTCTTTCTATATTCAAAAAGAATTTCAACCTATAAACATTCATTAAAAAATTTTGTATTGCATATAGAGAATTTCAAACATATGTACAACTTAAATAACTATAGAAAGTACTTGTGCAATGGCCATCCAAGTCAAGAACTGGAACTGGTTTATTTCCTGTTCAGTGTCTAGTCCTTTTATGTTCTGCATAAAAATATGTTCTGTACCCATATATGAAGAAATCCCAATAATCTTGGCCACTTGAAAAATTCATAAACCTTGAGTTTTAAAATATTTTAATAAATTTGGTCAATATATATTGATATCCTATTTGAAAAAAATAACAGATAGGTTTGTGCCATAGTTGAGTCATGTACTTATGAAATCTGTGCCTGGGTAGTCACTGAAAGAGAACTTTCAGAAACTAACAATTGGTTTTTTATCAGTTTGTTAAAAGCCCTGAGAAAATCTTGCTGGAGTAAAATTATCAGGCAGATCTTATGAGAAATTCGCTCAATATTTGAAACATTTGAAAGCTTAATTTAAATTCTGTACTGATTAGTTACTGTCTTACCGTCAAACTTCATGTAAACACTCAAGTATAAGAAGAAATCATTTGACTAATAGACCTGTAAAAAATGGGAAGATTAAATAGTTCGTGTTGTTAAAGTTTGTTAGACTGCTTGAAACCCTATTATTTCAGCTATTCTACAACTGTGATAGGACAGAATTTGTGAAATAACCTCATCCGAACAGATTTAGAAATTAAAACAATCGCACTTGAAATGTGGCCCCAAATCACAAAGATTCAAGATTTGCCTTGGCCAAGAAGATGGTCTTTTTACTAGCAGCAGCTGGTTCATTAGGACATTCCAAAATGGGTAGTTAAAGGATTGTTTGGGATGATAAATATATCATTGATTTTTTTTTAGCCACAGTAGAAAAAATAGTGAAGTATAGCAATCACTTTCAGTGCTTGGTTATCCAAAGTACATTTGACATTCTGAAATAATATCCTTCCATTTCTCCGCTCATCATTCAAAACACAGTTTTGACAAATTACTATGTGCCAGGATAAGCACCCGGGATAGGATCTTCTGAGAAGGATCTCATAATTGTAAAGATGGGGTTGAACTGGGAGAATGAGAGGTTACTGGACCAAGGAGAGAAGAGTGTAATAAAGACGGTGGCTTCTATCCTGGTGCTCTTACTCCAAGGCTGATACTGTGCCTTGTCCTTGGCTTGTATTTACAACAACTCTACCACAGGGAAGGTTTTAATCCCTATTTTAGAAATGAGGAAACTGAAGCACAGAGAAGTTCACAGCAAGTGTCTGAATTGGGATTCAGAGGCAGGCAGTCTCAATTCCACAGCCTATGCTTATAACCTCTAATCCTCTGTTACTTCAAAATCTGAAGTAGAAAAGGGAGAATACTTTTGTGAACCAAATGGGGAAAAGTCCTCTAATTCAGATCTTTTTATTATTTATTTATTTATTTATTTATTTATTTATTTATTTTTCCTTTTCCTTTTTTTTTTTTGAGACCAGCCGCACCGTGCTCAGCCAGTGAGCGCACCGGTCATCCCTATATAGGATCCGAACCTGTGGCGGGAGCGCCACTGCGCTCCCAGTGCTGCGCTCTCCCGAGTGCGCCACAGGCTTGGCCCTTTTTTTAATTTTTTATTTTTGGGGGGGATCGGTAAGGGGATCGCAACCCTCGGCTCGGTGTTGTCTGCACCACGTTCAGCCAGTGAGCACCGGCCACTCCTATATAGGATCCAAACCCGCAGCCCTAGCGCTGCCAGCACCGCACTCTCCCAAGTGAGCCACAGGGCCGGCCCGAAAAGTCCTCTAATTCAAAAATAAATGCCACTAAAGTTTATATACCTAAGCTAGTCTAGTTTTATTTTACTATGTGCGTGGTTCCAATAGATGATTATTTAGTTTCAAGACCCTTTTCTTGGGCCGGCCTGGTGGCGCACTGCTACAGTGCGCCGCTTGGGAGTGCTGCGGCGCTCCTGCCGAGGGTTTGGATCCCACATACAGACCGGTTCCCGCTCGCTGGCTGAGCGAGGTGTGGGCGCAACACCAAGGGTTGCAATCCCATTGCCAGTCCCAGTCCAGTACGGGTGCGACACTGAGGGTTGCGATCTGTTGCCGGACACAAAAAAAGACAAAAAAAGGAAAAAAAAAAAAAAAAAGACCCTTTTCTTATACAAAGTAACTAGTTATGGTGCGTAGGAGTAAAGACTGCCAAGCATTCAAAGTTGACCAAGTGACTGCAAGTGGTCCCTGAACTGTTTATATACACGGTCACTTACATCATTACATGTGAGGTTATTGTGCTCATTGTATAGAAAAGGGAACCTAAAGACAGAGAAACAGAAGAGCAGACTCACCCAGAAATTGTCCTAAGTAGGACCATTATATCTGAAGGTAAAGGATTTTCATCAAGGCATTACATTCCAGCAAAATAGAGCAACTGATCTCTAGATCAGGGTTCCTCAAACTTAGCACTATTAGCATTTTAGGCCTAGTAATTCTTTGTTGTCAGGGGCTTGTGGTGTGTATTGTGGGATGTTGACAGCATCCCTGGCCTCTACCCACTAGACGCCAGTAAACCTCCCAAGTTATCATAACCAGAAATGTCTTCAGATATTGCCAAATATCCCCTCAGGGGCAATATCGCCACTATGTAAGAACGACTGCTCTAGATCACCAATAATAAATTAAAATCTATTCTATATATCTTGCATAGAAGTAATTCTACATTGTATTTAATGTCCAATCAAAACGATTAAATAATAAATTTTTTGTGTAGGTATACCGTGGCCAGAGATGCATGAAATGTAGAAATTCTGCAGGGGTTCCAGTTGGACATAATTCTAAGAGGCCATGTTAAATATACTGTTTTCTAGGAATTATATAATTCATTTTCCCCAAAATTCAGATGGTACAGAGTATGATGCAAACATCTTCTCATAGTCCCATTCTCTGAAGATATAACCCTTGTTACAGTTTCCTATGTGAATTAACATTATTACTGTTGTTCATTTTGTTTCCTTTTTCAAAAATTGTCTTTTCCAATGTACTATTTTTACAACTTGCTTTTTTTTTTTTCCTTTTTGTCTTTTTTCGTGACCGGTAACGGGATCGCAACCCTCGGTGTCGCGCCCGCACCACGCTCAACCAGTGAGCGGACCGGTCTACTATATGGGATCCGAACCCTTGGTGGGAGCGCCGCCGCGCTCCCAAGCGCAGCACTCTACCGAGTGCGCCACCGGGCTGGCCCACAACTTGCTTTTTTAACTTAATGAAATTAGTGTTTCATTATTTAATGTTTGTTAACATCATTTTAATAGCTTTATTATATTCTACAATAGAAACATCCTATAATTTCTTTAACCTATCACTTAGTGATAGATATTAAAGTGTTTCTCACTTTTTTTTTGATATTACAAATAACTGTAATAAGGAGTGTTCTTGTGTACATTTGCATTATAAATACACAATTGTGCAAGTGTATAATAGAAAAAATTCTTAGCAGTGGAATTGCTGGGCTCAATTTTAATAGGATTCTGAGGCTAAGCTTTTATGATGTATTGCTCTTGGATAATTTAATTTTGCACCTCGATTATTACAGATATTTTTTTTCTTTTTAAGAAGCCAGAGATGGGAGAATAAATATGACCCAACTCTTAAAATATTTTTTTCTCCTCTGATTCTTAGAGGAAGAAAGCATTAGTTAGAAGCAGGAAGAAAGGAACATTAATAAGCTGAATTCCAGGGCCTCTTGTCCTTCACTTTTTTTTTTTTTTTCCTTTTTGTCTTTTTTCGTGTCCAGCAACGGACCGCAACCCTCAGTGTCGCGCCCGTACTGGACCGGGACCGGCAACGGGATCGCAACCCTCGGTGCTGCGCCCGCCCCTCGCTCAGCCAGTGAGCGGGAACCGGTCTGTATGTGGGATCCGAACCCTCCGCGGGAGCGCTGCTGCGCTCCCAAGCGGCACACTGTAGCAGTGCGCCACCGGGCCGGCCCGTCCTTCACTTTAATTATCAAAGTTTACCAAAACCTTGCCAAGATTCATGGTTCTAAATTTTTAAAAAAGTAAAAATAGCTCCTCCTTGCCCCTATGTAATTCTGTAAAGCTTTGGGTCTAATAATCTTATTCCTTCCACAGATGGAGCTACACAAAAAGACAAAGGCCCATATTATACACACCTTGGGGCAGGACCAAGTGTTGCTGCTGTCAGGGAAATCATGGAGAATAGGTGAGGAAATGTGTTTCCCTGTTAAAATCATTCTTTGTTGTGGACCTGATTCAATGCAGATAAATTATCTCTGGGAACAAACATGAGGTGAATGGAAAACTTTCAGGAGTGTAAGTTGGATGTTTCTCAGGGCTTAGGACAAGAGGAGTGTTCAGGTGTCCCTACTGAGTCATTCCTCGCATGCGCTGTTGGGTACTCAACCAGGAACTCACAAAGCAAATCTAATCATCTTTGATAAATTCAGAAATACTTATTTTAATATTATTGTGTAATGACAGAAATAGAACAAATTACCATCATCGATACTGCATACCCTGCATTCCCTTCGCTTGCCTTGGAACCAGGCTGTTTTTAAAGTATAATCTTTTTTTTTTTTTTTTAAGTATAATCTTTAAGGATAAATAAACAGAACTGGATAATAAATAAAAACATCTGCCACCCCAAAAACCAATTTTTAACAAAAGTAACTTGAGGAGTGTTTGATTTTTGAACTCTGGTACATCTATTTCTTATGCACATTAAGATGTTAAAAGCTGAAGTTTTCAAGTGTAGATTGTGATTAATTAGTACATTCCTTCCACTATGTTTTGTACTCAGGTATGGTCAAAAAGGAAAAGCAATAAGGATAGAAAAAATAGTGTACACGGGAAAAGAAGGAAAAAGCTCTCAAGGGTGTCCAGTAGCTAAGTGGGTAAGTATTTTGTATTTATACATTTTTTGGAAATGGATTTATTCCACATGTAAAATAAGTAAAATTTTTGTCCTAAGGCAATGTGGACTAACAAAAATAGCCACTCCCACAGGGAAATAAGGAGCTATCTATCTTTGCCTGGGTTTTCAGTTCAGGTGTAGTAAGAGCACACCTTTAGAATGTTGAAACACATGTAGTTTTTGTTAAATGAGGAAAGGAAATACTGCTTCCTAGTTGTTACCCAGTGGTCTTCTTCTCTCTCCCCAAGGTCACCACTTTTACCAGTTTCTTGTGTATTTTTAGAGATAGTTCAATGCATTTATAATTAGATAACATAAACAAATGGTGCCAAATTATACAAACGGCTTTACACCTTTTATCAGTCACCATATCTTGAAATTCCTTCCAATTCAGTAACTATAAAGCCATATTAATGAAGATAATATGATATTGAAAGCAAAACAAAATCTACAACATATTCCCAAAATTGTTCCTATGACTACTTTGATTTTTTCCTAAAAATGCAATTATAGGTAGAGCTAGATTTAGCTTCTTTAGGAAGTTCTTAACTGAAAACCGGGTTCAGAGCCAAATGTATGTTTTCAGTAGTACATTCACATCCACAAAAATATTAACCAGTTTATTTGAAATTCTAAAAAGAAGGAAAGAAATTCTGTGTGTGTGTGTCAGTCTGGCTGGCTGGCTGGCTGGTACAGGGATCTGAACTCTTGACCTTGGTGTTACAACACCGTGCTCTAACCAACTGTGTAACCAGCCAGCACCTATTTGGAATTATTGACCATATGATCTTTTGAGGTCCCTTACCTATAATTTGTTAATTATGATGATGATTATAATAATTATAATAATAATGGCTATCAGCTACCATTGATTATATATCAAGTACTATGTTAAGCACTTACATATATAGCCTCATCAATCCTCACAGTGAAACTGATTTTGGAAAGGGTGAAAGTGGTTATTTTTATACCCATTTCAGAATATTAAAAACATTAAATGCAAAGTGGAGAAGGGGTTTTAACCTAGGTATCCATAAAGGAAAACAATTGCCACAACCTTAGCTACTCTAGTAGACTGTGTGTCTTGGTTAATTTCCCACCTTTGGAAAATGACAGCAGTGACCTGCACAAGAGCTTGAGGCTGAGTGCTAATTGCTTAGAAAACTTTGTTTCTTTGATCTATTTGGAATTCTGTGTTAAATAAAACACATAGTGTTAAAACACAGATAACCTTAGAGATCTTACAACAACCTTGTTTAGTTACCTTACATATAATAAAGCACACGTCTTAAGTGTATACATCAATGAATTCTTCATATGTATAATATATATGTAACTGGCCACTTCTCAGATAATGATGGAAAACATTCTAACGCCCCAGAAGTCTCCCCTGTAGCCCCTTAAAGGTAACCACTGTTTTCACCGTAGATTAGTTTTGCCTCTTTTTGAACTACATACAATTAGAATCCCATAGTATGTACTCTTTTGTATCTGTCCCCTTTAGTCAACATTTATGGATCATGAATTTAATGGCTGGAGTTCCAACGGCCATCTGGAACCATGAATTGCTTTGACAGTAGAAGACATGTATAGGATGGTAGGAGGAAACATAGGATCTGAGTCCCTATAGATACCAGTCGAATCGTAATACCAACCCCAGGCATTAAATCTGGATTTCTTTAACATGAGAGGGAAATGGGGTTTTTTTTTTGTGTGTGTGTGTGTGTGTGTGTGTTTGTTTAAATCTTATCATCTGGGGGTTTTCTTTATATAGTGTAAAGCCAAGTCCCAACTAAGATACTTGCCTTCTCTATGTTACATGAATGTTGGGGTGGAAGGGACAGTTTTAGAATAAGAAAGATAGGTGAAGGAAATCAGGCACTCATACTTATTGGGTACTTTTTTTTGGCTGCTAGCTGGTAGAGGGATCAAACCCTGGACCTTGATGTTATCAGCACCACGCTCTAACCAACTGAGCTAACCGGCCAGCCCGAGTACTTCCTATTGCCAGACCCTGGGCTATATACTGGGAATACAAACATGAACTGCAATCTACTAATCATTTCATTTTGCAAATGTAAAGAAATTGTGGCCCAGAGTCATATTAGCCATTATACACACATTTGAAGACTGGCCTTGCTAACTTTTGAGTTTATTGCTTTATCCTCTAAGAACACAAATGTTAGGTTGGGCTTACCTTGCCTGCTAAGAATGAAACAGTTTTTTTTTTGTCCTTTTTGAGACCTGCTGCACTGCGCTCAGCCAGTGAGCGCTGTGAGCGCCCCGGTCATCCCTATATAGGATCCGAACCCGGCGGGAGCGCTGCTGCGCTCCCAGCGCCACACTCTCCCGAGGGCGCCATGGGCTCGGCCCAGAATGAAACAGTTTTCTAAAATACTCAGTTTTACTTCCCCAGAAGTTTAAAACTTTCTCTATGATTTTTATCAGTGTGAGTGGATGGAGTCAGGTTTGATGGTTATGAACTGTTAGCTCCTCAGTTCATGGATCAACCTTTGTTCTGCTTTGCATTGTTTTTCCACCATGTCAACTCAGCTATGAAATTTTAGTACTTTTTTCAATTTCCACAAAACACCATCATATAAATCAATCTATCTGTGTAAGGAACTTTGGCGAAGATATATCCAAACACTATCCAGAGTAACCTTTATTTCTATTTTATATTTTATTCCTCTTTTTGAAAAATTAATGCAGATGATTTAGAACATTGTTAAAGTAGAATAGGATATATAAACTGTTCATTTTTTAATTGGCTTGTTAATCTAGTATTGATTTTGTAAGAGCTCTTTAAGACCACTTGTGATACAAGTTGCAAATGTATTTTCTCAGTTTTTCATGGTTTTACCATTTAGATTTTTTACAGATGTAGTTGCCTTTGTAATGTTTTCTTTTATAGCTTTAGGGAATGGTATCTCAATTAGGAAAATCTTCTGCACTTTTATAAATGTCTCCCATTTTCTTTTTGTAGTATTTTAATGATTTCATTTTTTTCTTGATTTAAATATTTTATCCATTTTGTATGTATCTTCATTTAGAGTGTTAGTAACAACGTACATTTTTCCAGCTAGCTACTTAGTTTTCTAAGACCACTTATTGTTCCTTTTCCCTAATAATATATGTTTGTATGTGTGGGTTTTCTGTTCTCTTCCTTTATCAGCATCAGATTGCTCTAATTATTTAGGTTTTATAATATATTTCTATATCTGATAGGGCTAATTCTTCCTTTTAATTTTTTCAGAGATCTTCCAACTATTCTGGCTTGTTTATTTTACCATATGAGTTTATAATCACTTTGTTTAATTGCAAGAATAAAATCTTACTGATATTTTTATTAGACTCATTACATAGAGAATTTGGAGATTTTACATCTTTTTGATGTTTAGTCTTTCTATACTACATATTACATTTGCTTAATGCCTTTTGTCCTTCAGGGGTGTTTTAAAGTTTTATTCCTATAGACAGTATGTGTTTCTTATTTTCCAATTTATTTCTCTTGTGTTTCTCAGATGTGAAATTAGATAGTATATAGTGATACACTTAAATTCTTTACAAATTTTATGCTGTCAATTTCTTCTAATACAGTTCATTAGTCCAGCAGACCAACTCCAGTTTTATATTGCTTTGGTGATGATGGTCTCCTTATCTCGTTTTTCTCTTTCCGTGGGAATCCTTCCACTACTCTTCCAGTGTTTTCCCATTAACATGGGTCATCAGGGAAGGTCTCTCTGGGGAGGGAACATTTAAGCTGAGAACTGAGTGACAAAAAGGCGACAAATATGCAAAGGAAATAGCCCCAAAGAATGCAGGCAAGAGCATTCCTAAGCAGAGAAAACAGCATGTACAAACGTTTTGGGTCAAGGAAGAGGGTACATTTTTAAAATAACCTAAGAATAGTTTGATGATGGTGAGGAGGTAGGAAATAAAACTAGGTGAGGATATAAGGTAGGCAGAAGCCACATTATTAGTGGTTTTTATAGGCTAGAGAGTGGAGTTAGGATTTTATTCCATGAGAAATACAAACTGGTCTATGTTTTATAAATAATATCCTAAGTAGTTAATTGGCAAAATCTGTATTAGTTATCTTTTACTGCTTAACAAATTACTCCCAAATTCAGCAGCTTTGAACATCAAACATTTATTATGTCACATAGTTTTTGTGGGTTAGAAATCCAAGAGCAGTTTAGCAGGGTGCTTCTGATTTAGGGTCTCATGAAGTTGCCATCATTGGAAACTTGACTGCGGGAGGGTGATGCAGCTGGAAGATCCACTTCCAAGCTCCCACCCAGGAGGCCTTAGTTCTTCAATGGTTGTTGGCTGGAGGCCTCAGTTCTTCATCATAGGATTTACTAAATGTTCTCATGACATGGCAGCTTGGTTTCCTCCAGATGTGTGAATCAAAGGAGAGCAAGGAGGAAGCTATACAGCTAAGCTTGAAAATTACTGCATGAACCAGCCCTTCTAGTGTAGGAGGGGATTGTGCAAGGGTGTAAATATCAGGAGGTGGTGAGCATTGGGATCATCTCAGAGGCACAAAATTGTTTTGCATTTGAATTGGTATCTTGAAATAGCATTGCTATGGTATTCAATATTAGCTCTTCTCCAAGGCTTGGGAAGTTTTGAATATCAGTGCTTAGAGTCTGTTGAATTTGTCCAATCCAAACTTGAGCTTTAGGTAGACATTAAATAAAAAATAGAGTGAAAGAATTAGGTTTCTGTATTTTACATAGTTTTTAGGACTTTACCAATAGATTATTTTGAATGACACTACTGCAGTTAAAGTCCTGTATGTGGGCGGGGGCGGAAATGAAGGTCAATCATTTTGAACTGAGGAATCTAACAAACATTTAACTAGCAGTTTTCCAAACTTACTTTTCATCTTGGATAGTATATACTTTTTGTGCAACCTAAATCAAGCATTGTTTGATTTCATGCACATTTTTCATCTCCACATGCACACTTATG